TGTGTGTGTGTGTGTGTGTGTGTGTGTGTGTGTGTGTGTGTGTGTGTTTATGTATATATATATTTAAATTAATGGCTTCCTTGGGATGTATATCCAGCATTAGAATCTCTGGGTCAAAAAAGTATAACCATTTCAGCAACTTTATTTGCATAATTCCAAATTGCTTTTCAGAATGAATGTACTAATTAGCATGCCTTTTTCCAACATTAATTATTCCCCTCTTTTATCACCTTGGCCAATTTGCTGGATATGAAGTAAAACTTCAGGGTTTATTTTTATTTGCATTGTTCTTATCAGTGATTTGGAACACTCTTTCATATGGTTGACAAGTTTGAATTTTTTTTTTTTGGAGAATTCTTTGTTTATATCCTTTGACCATTTTTCACCTTGGCCTCTTAAAATCTCTAGGTTCTAAAAAGGGTCGGATCAAATTCCACCTCCTAGATGAGGCCTATCCTTATCTTCCCAGTTGTTCTCCCTTAAATTGTTCAGTATTTACTTTCTATAAATTTTGTATTTACTTATCAATATACATCTTATCTTGGCATTGTTGTGTTGATATTCCCAATGCCTGGCATGTAATAAGTACTTATGAAATATTTTTGAATCAATGACTTAATTCATCAAACTGGATATATAAAGACATATGTACTCTTAAATAGCTAACAGAAGGAAAGTCAAAAAACTATAAAACCCATAAGCGTACCCAATACATTTCATTAGGATGTACACATTACAAATTTTTTAATGGTAACAATACTCAATCATCAAGGACACTATTTTCACTTTTCAAACCAAAGGAACTAAAAATTAGCTAATCTTTAAAATGAACAATCCAGCTTTACTTAAAATAATACACTCTTAAAAGCCCAGATGCACAACAGCAATTTTGTGTGACACAGGGACAGGCCACGGAACGCCTAGCATATGTGCTTATTTATAGATATAAGAAAACAAACTAAGTTCAAAGGAGAAGTCCAGGAACAGTCCTATAACACGACAGAAAGAGACATGCATTTTATTGGGGAAGTCAAGAAAAGATTCATAGTACCCACTTTGGGTCTTAAAGGAGGAAAGGCTTAGCATATAGAAGCTGGTGTTGGGAAGGATATCATTTATTTCAAGGAATTGGGAGGTAAAGTGGGAAGAAACAGAAGAAAGCAGGATGAGAACAAGAGGGGGAACATAGTTCAGTTTGCCCAAAAGAAAGCACGCGTACAGAGGAGCATAATGAGAAAGCAGGAAAGGATGGCTGAACTCAGACTGTGAAAGGTCTTACATGTTAGCACAAAGATTCTGTGCTTTACACTTTAGGGTACAGTGAATGCTGAAGGCTTTTGAGTAGAGGGGTGACATGAGATATCTATGTACAAATTATCTAGTTGCAATTAGAAATTTGGGATTGGAATTCTGGGGAGAAGCTGGAACTACCGATACAGATTTGGGAGTTACCTACAGAGAGGTAATAATACAGCCAGTTCATCAATAAACATTTATTAATCTTCCATTAGGTGCCGGACACTGTCTAAAGTATTAGGAAAATGAAGAAAGGCAAAACACAAGTCTTGGCTCTCAAGGAGCTCACAGTCTAATGGGGAAGACAACATAAAAAACTATGTACAAACAAGCTGTACACAGAACAAATGAATGATAATCCATAGAAGGAAGGCAACAGAATTAAGGAAAATCAGGAAAAGCTTTCTGGAGAAGGTGGGGTTTTAGTCAGAACTTGAGAGAAGACAGGTAATCCAGGAGGTAGAGATGAGGAAGAAGAGCTTCCCAGCCATTAAGAATAGCCAAGGAAGGAGGAGCTGAGTGGTGCAGTGGATAGAGCACCAGCCCTGGAGTCAGGAGGACCCGGGTTCAAATCTGGCCTCAGACATTTGACACGTACTAGCTGTGTGACCCTGGACAAGTCACTTAACCCCAACTGCCTCATCAAAAAAAAAATAGCCAGTGAAAATGCCTGGAGCTGGGAAATGTCACATCTTATGGGAGGAACACAAAAAGGGCGGTGTCACTAGGTTACAGAGCAGAGGGAGGGAGGTAAAATGTCAGAAGACTGGAAAGGTGGAGAATGAGGATTAGTGGGTATGGATGATAGGTTATGAAGAGCTTTGAATGCTAAACAGAGGATAGGGCACTTATTCAGCCCATGAGGGTGATGTGGCCACTTTAGGACGATCACTTTGGCATCTGAACGGAGGATGGATTAGAGTGGGGAGAGACCCACCGGCGTGCTACTGCAATGATCCGGGTGGGAGGTGATGAGGGCCTACACTAGAGGGGTGGCAGCATCAGAAGAGAAAAGAGAATGCACACAAGAGATGTTGGAAGGGAGTGTATACAAGAGACACAGAAGTGTAATTCATGACTTAATTAATAAAAGTCAATTAACTAAATGTATATATGTAACTCATATGCAAAGGCTTAAAGAATTAAAAAAATATTGTAATACAAAGTGTACACATGGTTATGTAGAGTGTCTCTGCTTTAAAATGCAGATCAAATACCAACCCGTGCATGAAGCCTATCTTCATCCCCCCTTCCCCGCTTGGTATAGATTTTTATTAATAACTTTATATTTGTCAGAAGAGGAACTTGAACCCAGGTCTTCCCAGTTCCTAGGCCAGTTCTCTAGTTATCATGCCAAATTATCAATTTTAAAACAAATTTCTAAAAGTAGTAACCCCAACAATAACTAGCATTTATATAGAACTTTAGAGTTTGTAAAGGCTTTACAAATATTATCCCATTCAATCATCACATGAACCCTGGGAGGTAGGTGCTCTCATCATCCCATTTTACAGAGCACCTAAAGCCCAGAAAGGTTAATTGACTTTCCAGGGTCACACTGGGTCACATCATCTCCGTCTGAGGCAGAATTTGAAGTCAGGTCTCCCTGAGTCCAGGTCCAGCACTCATTCATGGGAGTCATTCACCTGTAATCTCTGCTACTTGGAAGGCTGAGGCTACTGGATCCCGTGAGCTTGGGAGTTCTAACCTGCAGTGGGCTAAGGCTGATCAGGCAGCCACACTAGGTGAGACACCAATATGGCAAGCCTCTGCAGTGGGGGAGAATTCAGGCTGCCAGAGGAGGTGACAACTGGCCCAGGTCAGAAATGGAGCCAATTAGTAGCAGAACTGGACCTGTGAATGGCCACTACCCTTCCAGCTTGGGCGAGAGAGGCAGAGCTAGTCTCTAGAAAAAAAGACTAATAACAACACCAACAACAGTTAAATTTAAATTTTGTATAATTCCATATAAACTCACTTTATAACATTTGAGTCAGCTATAATGTCTACTAAATTATTTTTTAATTTGAAGTAATCAATAAAATAAAATATGCAAATTTTGCTAAATACTTTTAAAACTGGTTTCTTATGTATAATACTAATGACAACAAATATATTTAAATTACATTTTTATTTCTCTAAGTGCATCTGGATAAAAATAAACTGACTCACCTTTTCCTGCAGGCTGGGGAACTGCAAATCCAGGCAATAAAAATGGTGCCCCTGTGGTAATACCAGCTGCTTTTAGTTCACTGACACCATATGTTGTTAGAGAAGTGATCAAATTAACTAGATCTTTCAAAGCATCCTTGGATTCTGCCTCTTTTGCTTGTTCCAATCTATAAAAGGCAAGATGAGTTTGATTTACAACAAAAAAATACAGAGCCTTAAATTTAACACAAATACTAAATGTAATTTGTAAGTTAATAATGCACTAAAATAACTGCAAAACCCTACCTAAACCTACCTTACCTGCTTATTTTATCTATGTTTAACACGCTGACCACAGCTGAATACAATGCACACAGACATCTCCTTAGCAAGGAAACAAGAAAGGCCTGCTTTGTTTGATCTGGTTTATGCTGTGGAAAAAAAGGAATCTATTTTGTGCAAACTATGCAGACCTACAGAGCTGGCAAACTTGAGTGTTCTAGTGGAAATGATGGGCACCTTGGTGGTAAGGGAGTAGTCACTCTTAGAATTTCTGATAAAGAAGAAAAAGAAAGCCAGGTATATACTAACATGAATCCTATATTTTTCTTTTTTGTTTTAATTTAATATTTTATTTTTCTCCAATTACATGTAAAAATTTTTAACATTTGTTTTTAAACATTTTTGAATTCACATTCTCTCCCTCCTTCTCCCAACCCCTCATTGAGAAAGCAAGTAATTTGATAGAGGTTATACATGTACAGTCATGCAAAACATATTTCCATGTTAGTCACATTGTGAAAGAAAAAAGACAAAAAAAAAAGAGAAATAAAGAACATAAACATGCTTTGATCTCCATTCAGACTTCATCAGTTCTTTATCTGGAGTTGGGCACTTTTCATCATAAGTCCTTCAGAATTGTCTTGGATCACTGTACTGCTGAGAATAGTTAAATCATTCCCAGTTGATCATCATATGATATTGCTGTTACTTTACACAATGTTCTACTGGTTCTGATCATTTTACTTTGCATCAGTTCATGTGTGTCTTTCCAGATTTTTCTGAGAGCATGCTGCCCATCAATAGTATTCCATCACAATCGTGTACCACAATTTGTTCAGTTATTTGCCAAGTGATGGGCATCCCCTCAAATTCCATTTCATTGCCACCACTAAAAGAGTTGCTATAAATATTTTTGTGCATACAGGTCTTTTTCCTTTTTGTTTTTTGTCTTTGGGATACAGACCTAGTAGTGGTATTGCTTGGTCAAGAGGTATGCACGGTTTTAAAGCCCTTTGGGTATAGTTCCAAATCGCTCTACAGAAAGTCTGAATCAGTACACAACTTCACCAACAATACATTAGTGTCTCAGTTTTCCCACATCCCCTCCAACATTTGTCATTTTCCTTTTCTGTCACATTAGCCAATCTGATAGGTGTGGGGTGGTACCTCAGAGATGTTTTGATTTGCATTTCTCTAATCAAAGGTGACTTGGAGCATTTTTTTTCATATGACTATAGATAGCTTTGATTACTTTGTCGGAAAATTGCCTGTTCCTATCCTTTAACTTATCAATTGAGGGATGGCTCTTATTTCTATATTTGACTCAGTTCTCTTCGTATTTGAGAAATGAGGTCTTTGCCAGAGAAATGTGCTGCAAAAATTTTTTTCACAGTAATAATTATCAACTATGTAATTCCCTCCATCCTATTTCCCCCGTTTATCATACTCTCTCCTTTCACCTTTTCCATTCTCAAAAGTGTTCTGTTTCTGACTTTTACCTCCCCCAATTCACCTTCCCTTTTATCAGCGCCTCCCTCCCAACACTTCTCTTATCCCCTTCTCCTCCTACTTTCCTGTATGGTAAGATTGATTTGTATACCCAATTGAGTGCGTATGTTATTTCCATTTTGAGACAATTCCAAATAAGATTAAGTTTCACAAACTCCCCCACCTCCCTTATCTTCCCATCCACTGTAAAAACTATTTCTCACCTCTTACGTGAGATAATTTACCCCACTGCACTTCTCCCTTTCCCTTTCTTTCAATGCATTCCTTCCTTACCTCTTGATTTTATTTTTTTTAAGATAATTATCCTATTATATTCAATACACACTTGTGTCTTTTGTCTATGTAGACTCCTTCTAATGCCCTAATAATGATAAAGTTCTTAGGAATTACAAGTAACAATTTACCATGTAGGAATGTAAACAGTTTAACCTTATTGAATCCCTTATGATTTCCCTTTCCTGTTTACCTTTTTATGCTTCTCTTGAGTCTTGTATTTGAAAGTGAAATTTTCTATTCAGCTTTGATCTTTTCATCAAGAATGCTTGAAAGTCCTCTATTTCATTAAATATCCATGTTTTCCCCTGAAGGATTATACTCAGTTTTACTGGGAAGGTGATTCTTGGTTGTAATCCTAATTTTTTTGCCCTCAGGAATATCATCTTCTAAGCTGTCTGATCCTTTAAAGAAAAAACTGCTAAACCTGTGAGCCACTGACTGTGGCTCCACAATATTTGAACTGTTTCTTTCTGGCTGCTTGCAGTATTTTCTCCCTGACACGGAAGCTCTGGAATTTGGCTATAATATTCCTGGGAATTTTCATTTTGTGAATCTCTTTCAGAAGGTGATCAATATATTCTTTCCATTTCTATTTTACCCTCTGGTTCTAGAATATCAGAACAGTTTTTCTTGAAAATTTCTTAAAAGAGGATGCCTAGGCTCTTTTTTTGATCATGACTTTCAGATAGTTCAATAATTCTTAAATTATTTGTCCTGGATCTATTTTCCAGGTCAGTTGTTTTTCCAATGAGCTATCTCACATTTTCTTCTATTTTTTCATTCTTTTGATTTTGTTTTATTGTTTCTTGATGTGCCATAAAGTCATTAACTTCCACTTGCCCAAATCTAATTTTTAAGGCATTATTTTCTTTAGTGAGCTTTTGTACTTGGCCAATTGTACTTTTAAGGAGTTCTGTTCTTCAGTGGATTTTTGTACCTCTTTTTCCATTTGGCTAATTTTGCTTTTCAAGTTCTTCTCTTCAGTGAATTTTTATGTATCTTTTTTCATGTGGCCAATTGTGCTTTTGAAATCATTCTCTTCTTCACTGGATTTTGTGCCTCTTTTACCATTTGGCCTGTTCCATTTTTTAAGGTGTTATTTTTGTCAGAATTTTTTTGTGCCTCCTTTACCAAGCTGTTGACTCCTTCTCCATGATGTTCTTGCATCACTTTTATTTCTCTTCCCAATTTTTTCTTTACCTCTCTTACTTGATTTTTTAAAATCCTTTTTGAGCTCTTCCATGGCCTAAGACCAACTCATATTTTTCTTTGAGGCTCTGGATGTAGCAGTTTTGACTTTGTTGTCTTCTTCTGAGTATGTGTTTTGATCTTCCCCATCGTCATAGTAATTTTCTATAGTCAGAATCTTTTTCTCTGTTTACTCATTTTCCCAGCCTGTTTCTTGACTTTTAACTCTATGCTGAAGTAGGGCTCTGTTTCCAGAGTGGAGGAGCTACTGTCCTAAGCTTTAGGTTTTTTTGTGCATATCTTTTCAAGGATAATTCTGGGGACCTCTAAGCTTTTGATTCTTCCAAGGTGGCATAATCTAGGGAGAGAGTGTTTACTACTCTCCTGGCCTGTGCTCTGCTCTGTGAGAGATCACAGGTACTCTTTTTCACCCTGAAACCTGGACCATGACCAGGGTCCCAGCTGCTCTGTAGCTGCAAACTCTGGTGTGCTAGTGCTCCTCCCTGTCCTGGGACTGGGACCCAGGACTTCAACCCAGATCCAAGTATGGGCAATGCAATAGAGTCCTGCCCCCGGTGCCAGCAAATGGACCCCCATAAGCTCCTTCTGACCAGTTTCTGGCCCCCTGAATGTCTATGGCCTGAAAGGTCCAGAGAATGCCACTGACTCCATCGCCACCAAGGCCTACTCCTGGTTTGCTGGGGCACGGTCTAGGTTGCTAGGCTGTGCTCTACTCTCACCTCAGTGCAACAGACCTTTCCCACAACCTTAGTTCTAAGTTGTCTTGGACTTGAAAGTTGTTTCACTCAGTGCTTTTGTGGGTTCTGCCACTCTCAAATTTGATTTGAGGCATTATTTAAAGTTGTTTGGAGGGGTTTGGGGGAAAGTTCAGGCAAGTCCCTGCCTTTTCTCTGCCATCTTGGCTCCACCTCCCAAACCCAATATTTTTCTAGAACAAATTTCCAAGGGTTCAGAGGAAAGATAAATAGGAGATCATGGACAAAAACTACACAGAGGAAGTCAGCCCAGAAGAGGAAGTAATGAAATTGGTAATGAAATTCCCAAGATAGAAGAAGAAACAGTTTTGATGAGGAAGCAAAGAGAGCAACATTGCCTAAAGAAACTAAGGGGGGTGCTCAGAGAACTCATCGACTACTTCAGATTTTATTTATGAAATTATTTTTATTGATGTCTTTTGTTTCAATCATTTTGGGATACTGCCTCCTTTACTTTGCACAGAGCTGTACCTTATAACAACAACAAAAAGATAAAACAAAAACAATCGATAATATATTATCTTACAGTGTATGTAAAATTCACATCCTCTAGTTTCCCATCCCAACTCCACCCAGTTTCAAAGGAAAGAAGGTGTGTTTCATCCCACTGACTATTTCTGTTACCATCTTTACCAATTTCATGGGGATGAATAAAACCTCAGTTTTAAAATGTGAAATTCTCTTAATATTAGTGGTTTGGAGCATTTTTATATGCCATAATAATGGGTAACATTATATAGCACTTCAAGATTTGAAAAGCACTTTACATACACTATCTCACGTACTTTGATCCTAACCACAATCCCATGATGGATGCTATTATTATAGCCATCTTACGGATAAGAAAACTGAGGCTGAAGGCAGTTTAAATGACTACACAATGAGTGTCTGAGGTGGAATTCACATTCTATCTTCAAGACTCCCACTTCTACATTCTATTGATTAAGTCACTTAGATTGTTTCTTCATGTCCTTTGCGCACATATTTACTAGGGATTACATCTCGATCATAAGTTAAAGTCAGCTGGTCCATATGAACAGCATTCTAAAAGAACTAGCTAGTATGTGACCAACTACAGTGACCTCTGAAAGAACATGAGAAATGAGAAGAGAAAAATCTCTACTTCCCATTCCATCTCCCCCACAAACAGGAAAGAGAAGCATCTACAGACAATGGGGTTGATTGTTATTTCCTGGGAAAACTCTAGAATATGTTAGTAGAGAGATGGTAATTGAACACCTAGAAAAGGAAGCAGTGATTACAAGGAAACATCAAGAACAAGTCATGCCGGACTAAACATTTCTTTTTTTGACCAAGTTATTAGAAGGGCAGGTCAGGGAAAGATTTTAACACAGTATTTGATAAAGTCTCTTATGCTATTCTTGGGGGGAGGGGCTGGGAGGGAATTGAACAATAAGAGCTAGATGGAAAGGGAACTGACTGAATGGCAGGACCCAAAGAGTACTCATTACTAGCTTAATGTCAACTAGAAAGGTCTCCAATGGCATGCCTCAGGGATCTGTGCTTAGCGTTATTATTTTTTAACATTTTCATTAATGACACAGATGGTAATCAGATTTGCAGATAATAATAACAGCTAGAATTTTATATAGCAACTACTATGTGCTGGGCATTGTACTAAGCCCTACAAAGCTGTAAGAACTAACTCCATGGATGGGTCAGTGTTCAAAAAGATCTGGACAGGTTAGAACACTGAACTAAATGTACAAAAATAAAATTTAACAGGGATACATATAAAGTCTTAGAATTATGTTCAAAAAATCAATTTTAGGGGGCAGCTAGGTGGCGCAGTAGATAAAGCTCTGGCTTTGGAGTCAAGAGGACCTGAGTTCAAATCCAGCCTCAGACACTTGACACTTACTAGCTGGGTGACCTTGGGCAAGTCACTTAACCCTGACTGCCTCACCCAAAAAATAATTAATTAATTAAAAAACAAAAGAATCAATTTTACAAATATAGTACTGGGGAGGCATGGCAAAAGAGTATGGAGAAAAAAAAAAGAGCCCTGAAAGGCTTATTGGAGTAAGTTCAATAACTAGGACATGCCATACAAGAGAGCTAAAGCAATCTAGGCTGAATTAAGAGAGATATGACATCCAGAACAAGGAAGTGGTATTCCCATTCTCCTCTGCCCTAGTCAAACACATATGGAATACTGTGTTCTCTTCTAGGCAACACCTTTTAGGGCATCCAAAGGAGTGTCATACTTAAATGGGATTAGGCTGAAACTCTTTTTCCTGAAAGGAACAGCTAGAAGCCATGGGTGTTAGCTGCAAAAAAGGCAAATTTAATTTGACGAAAGGAAAAACTTCATTTTAGGGTGTTAACAGGCGATCACAAATTCATGAAACTTACATGAAAACCAGGTTTACTGCAAGAGAAATGAACATGCATGTAGAACCAAACAGTTCATAATCCATACAGAATTTGCATGGGGAATGCATGAGGGGGGAAAGGTGCAGTACAAGTGGGAAAAAGACAAAACCCCTCCCAAAGGGAGGAGCAAGATGACAGCAAAAGCCTCATTCTTTTCCCTTGGTAATTACTAGACTACAAAAATAGGATGTTCTGCTTAACACAAGCCTAGTGCAGACTTACTGGTGCCTGTCTTGACTCCCAAGGACACACAGGAAGTCCAGTCTGGGATGCAGACAACCCATTATGTCGCCTAGGGGTGGGGGTGGGGGAAAAGGATCTTCGCCCCTGCCTGACATATTCAGGGCCTCCTGCATACTCCAGGTACAGTGCTTCTGGAAAATACGGCAACTCAAAAAGACAAGTTCAGGTGACCTATTAATATTCGTCAACAAGGGGCACCCAAAAGCAGAATGAGATGCTTTGGGAAGTGACGCAATACTCCTCACTGACAGCTTTTTCAAGCAAAGCACAGAGGACCACTTGTTGGATATATTGTAGACCAGAAGGCCTCTGACATACATTCCAGCTCTGAATCCATGACTTTAAATCCAGCAATCTTTCTCTTTTTAAAATACATCTTATTAATGTCTTTTGTCTTTGAACCATCGTTATTTCTGTGGGAAAAATCATCCTTTCATCCTCCCAAATGAACACTTCTTCGTGACAAAAACAATTAGTAAAAATACTCAGTAGAGAGGCTGCATCTAACAATATATACAATATTCTACCGACATTGGGATAAGAGGACAAAACACCCTTCCATCAAAGGCTAGGTTTTTGGGGCATTTTGTAGAGGAACTTCTCTTTAAGATAAGGGTTATTTATATAGGAGGTCACTGAGGTCCCTTCCAACACTGAATTTTATAACTCTGTGAAATTGTAAAAATATTCTTCCTAAAATAAACCGGAAGCAAAGCTATCTCCAAGGAAGACTTTCATTTCTGTCTGGATTTGGCTGATGTGACAGTACAATATGAGACATATTGTTAAAAGAGCTTAATAAACGCTTTATCTATCAAATAGCTGGCTTTTATTCACTCGAACATTACTAAGTCTGTTCCAGCTGAATGTAATTTTGATGCCAAGGCAGCTTTATGAATATGTGACTATAGATAATTTGCAAAACATTTTTTTGTAAGATGAAGCCCTTTTAGAAAGATCTCTCTAAATCCTCTTAAACTTTCTCCTAACATGGCTGCTTCACTCGAGTCCTACTCCAATGTCTCATCATGGCACAGAGGTGATTCTTCATCAGTAGGGCATAAGTTTTGGCAAGTGCTACCAAACTGGAATAGTTCCAAGTGATGGAGTGTGTCTAGTACTGAGGAACAGAATGCAGAGGCTTTTAATCTGTTACTAGGTAAAAGTGTCTATATTGATAAAAATCATAGATATTTTTAAATATTAAAGTGATAACATGGTAATAATGTAATGTATCTTTCTGGTTCAACCACTTATTTTGTTGGTCTGACACATACTAGCAGTCTGGTCATGGGCAAGTCACTCACCTCCAAATAAGTTACAAACTTTCTAATATTTATTATAAAATTAACAAACTGCTTATCCAAAATGGTGGAGGGAGTTCACTACCCTTCTCCCCGTTCCTACCCCATCATAAAAGCATAGCTGCAGAACAAGAATAGACAGACAAGAAAACACAGGGGAAGAATAATGAATAAATATTGTATCAGGTGTTCATATACCTGCCTCACTAGTAACAAAGTGTGGCTCAGGATGAGAGGGACTAACTACAGTGGAACGGGTTAAAATGCACAGAAAGCCTAGGAACGGTAAGGAGGGAAGGTGCACGCTTCTCAGTAGTACTTGTCACCAGACACACGTCCTATGTATTTGTGTATCTTCTAAGACAAAGAATGGGGCCCACTAGCATACTTAAAATAACAAGTTTCTATAGCTCTATATAACCACATCTCAATCTTCTTAATAAAACAGAGTGAAATAGAATAAAGTAGAGGTAATTGAAAGTGAACTAAAGAGGAGAAGATTCTTCATCAGGCCCAAGATATGAATACGCTAAATTATTTTTTTCACAACTAGTGAGGGACTGCTTAGTAAAGAAGGAAAAGGGTTTACTCCTCTTATTTGCCACTCTTGCTGATCCAATTCCCCAGAGCACATCTGACGTTCCACACAATCATACCTTTGCTAGAAAATAGTAGTGCATTAAGGCCATATACTCCATCTGTCTATGTAAGGGGGCTGCGATGGCCCAGGAATGGGGTTGGGTATTTGGAATGATAAGAAAAAATCAAATAAAGGGAACTGATCCTGTGAAAACAAGTATCAAATTGAAAAAAAATTCTTTTTGTTCTGTTCCCCCCCCGAAAAAAATAACTGGATCTCATTATGCAAATGCACACACAAATCACACAGAAATAAGTGAGACAAAAAGAATAAAAAAACTCATGAGAAAAAAAAACATTAATAAAATACATGCTTCATACCTGAGCAAGAGATCACAGAGAAAGTTATATCCTTGCCATATCCTAAAGTCATCAAGCAGTGTTTGAGAAACATCACTGGAATCTTTGAGAAAGCAAGAAAGCCCAGCAAACATTTCAACGATCTCTAAGGGAGAAAGATCATCTGACTGCTGCATATTCTGAACACATGTTGACAAACATTCTTTTTCTGCAAGAACAAAAAGTTACAACTACTATATATTAACAAAAAAAACAATTTTCAATTACTTTGCACATTTTTATTCATCCTTAAATGTGGCTAAGTTAGCTGTCAAATATTTAGAAATTACAACGTTACATTTAAAATGACAGACAAGATTTACTTTAACTTCTTTTGAAAGTAAAAAGAAATTTTGAATTATTTGGTGGAAAATCATGCCTCTAAAAAAGAAATTATTTACAGAAAAATATTGGAAATAATTCAAGTCAATTCAATTCAATAAACATTTATCAAATGCCCATCACATGCAAGGCATTATAAAACATGGAAAAAATCTAGAGGAAGAATCAACCTCAAAATCAAAAGACCTGGGTTCAAATCTTGCTTCTGACACATCTTAACTGTATAATAATGTTTCAGTGCACAAGGTTACTCTCTCAGCCTCAACTGCAAAGCAAGTGCAAATCTGTACCTGGAGAGAGCTTTTCATACTAATGAAATAATGAAATAAATGAAATGTTAAAAAACCAAAACCAAAATATAATGTACAAGCACTGGGCTAGATCCTAAGGATACAAAAAGGCAAAAATGAGCAGTACCTGAGCTCTGAAGGAAGACACATCAATATAGGTTAAACACTGTGTGTGTGTGTGTGTGTGTGTGTGTGTGTGTGTGTGTGTGTGTGTACATGCACATGTGAGCTCACACAGAGAGAGACAGAAACTATGTTTTATGGTCTATTTCCATCACAGGATAAGAAGAATAGTTAGCATTGATGGAGCACCTACTATATGCCAGGCACCATGCTAAGCACTTTAAAAATATCATCTCATTTGATCCTCAGAACAACTCAGAAAAGGAGTTACTATTATTATCCCCACTTTACAGTTAAGAAAACAGAGGCAAACAGAGATAAAGTAACAGCTAATAAGAGTCTGCTCCCAGTTTTGAACACAGGCCCCAACTCCAGGTCTGGCACTGCACTGCCCAGCTGGGAACACAAACACAGAGCTGGAAGGGATGTGAGAGGCCATCTTTTCCAATCTCTTTATTTTACAGATGAGGAAACTGAGACCAACATAGGTTATATGACTTGCCAAAGTCTATTTCCACATTACAGTTTGGATTTCTTCTATTGTTACGGCATAAAGACAAGAGACAAAGGAATATCTGCTATTTTAAAGGAAAATTACAACAGTACAAATGCAGTCCAGAATTATACAGAAATAGTTCAGGTAAGAAGAACACAGAAAGTTGCTACCAGTTTGGGACACAATCCTATCAGCCAAATTATGAGTGGCTGGGGAGTAGATTTCTACATTCTCTTATCTTCAGTCAATTTTTCACAAAGAAATCCATCTCATGTAAAAATCAAAAGAGATTAAATGTAAAGGAAGATAAATTTATTTCAAATTTTATTTGAAACATCAGTTACAAGTCAAGTAAAATTTGGCTAGGATAAAAAATAAGCAAACTGTTTGGGAATGAAGCCAGCTCTCTCCTATTTAGAAACTGTTAGAGACTTACTGACATTAAGACACATATAATAAGTAAAACAACTAAATCAGGATTTTCTTAGTAAGAATCACGGATAAGAAAAGCCCCCATCTGTGCTATAAGTTTCTTCAGCATCACTGTTACAACTGTGTTGGTGTAGGTGGCACCCTCCCACACAGATTTTAAACCCTGTCCACATGAGCACTTTCATGAGCTTCCAGAACACAAAAAAACTTTATTACCTATCAGCCAGAATTCCAGTAAGAGCCTCTCTGCATGTAACTAGGCTGGTCTTCGGTTCCTCCTGGCCTTTTTTTGTTTGTGTTTGTTTTTGTTTTTGGTGAGGCAATTGGGGTTAAGTGACTTGCCCAGAGTCACACAGCTAGTGAGTGCTACTTATGTGTCTGAGGCCGCATTTGAACTCAGGTCCTCCTGACTCCAGGGCCAGAGCTCCATCCACTGAGCCACCAAGCTGCCCCTCCTCCTGGGCTTTTGTAATCTGGCAGAGCCTATGCTCTCCCTTAACCACCACCTTGGGAAATTGCAGTCAGCAGCATGAAGCATCAGGACAGGAACTTAGTAGGAGATACTGTCAACAAAAAAGATCATTTGTGCCCCTGATGGAGACTTTCTTCAAAGGTCAATAAGACTATCCACAAAACCTCAAAAATGAAATTTCACATTTTTAGGGGAGGAAGAATGATTATGACTGAACATTCAAGCTGAAGTGAAACAAATTTTTCCAGATACATATTTTGGAATTTATAAGAACTCACTGAATTTCATGATATACCTAAATAAACATGGATGAGCATATTTTCATTGCCAACTTAAAAAGAAAATCTGCTTATAAATACTTTTATTTTGAAGCATTAGGAGAGAAAAACTGGACAAAATGAAAAAAACTTTTTTTACCCACCATGAATATACTTTACTACATTGACGCTAAGCCCATGACGCGATATGGTCATGAGAACTTCCCCAGCACTCTTCCTCCAAGGCAAGTTATAGGGAGGGCACCAGGAGGTTATTGCACTGAATAAAAGCTGGAGATCATCCTTCTGAGCCAGCTCTTCTGCTGGGGACACAAAACTGCAGAGTTTCACCAATATCTACAAATGAATAAAATCAATCAATCAATAAACTGAAAGTGGGAGGTTAGATGTGGGAGAAGGAAAGAAGAAACAGACCTAAAATGTACCTTTAAGGTATCACTACATTAGAACCAGGTGGAACTAATGCTTTTGATTTTAAAGTATCAAGAAAAATCTACAACCTGGAGGTCTATATTACCATCACAGCATGTACTTTAACAGGTTTACATAAGATTTATATTTTTTATTTTTTCAACTGTTTCATATAGAATAGATCCATTTGTCTCATATTATTATAAAAATACAACCACAATAATTGAGAGTCACATCTCATCTTGATATGTAATATGCCAGAAATAGAATTCTTTTTTTTGATAAAAATGAAGAACTAGGAAGTCAGGAAAAAATAAAAGCTCTGACGACAGAAGAATCTTGGGAGAATAATCGTTTATACAAATAGAAAAGAAAGTTACCTTAAATCATCAGGTCATCTTAATTTAATCTAGTACTTACTGTATGTGGAAAACCTCACCATTTAAAAGGCAATTTTCCACAATACCACAACTAGGCATATATCACAAAGAGATTAAAAAAAAAAAAGGAAAAGGATTCATATGTACAAAAATATTCATATTATGTCTCTTTATTGATGATAATGATGATAATGATATAGCAATTAATTATTATTTTGTGTGTGTGTTTTAACTATTCCTATGATTGATGGACCACCTACTATGTGCCAGGCACCATGCTAAGCACTTTAAAAATATCATCTCATTTGATCCTCAGAACAACTCAGAAAAGGAGTTACTATTATTACCCCCACTTTACAGTTAAGAAAACGGAGGCAAATACAGATAAAGTAACAGCTAATAAGAGTGCGCTCCCAGTTTTGAACACAGGTCCCAACTCCAGGTCTGGCACTGCACTGCCTAGCTGGGAACACAGATACAGAGCCCAATAATTGAGAGTAGCTGACCGAATTATAGCCTATTAACATAATGGAATATGACTACACCATAATAAATGATGAAAGGGACAACTGCAGTAAAAGCTGGAAAGACGATGTGAGATTAAATAGAAGAACAATTAATAAAATAACAACACTATAAGAACAAACAACTTTGAAAGACAACTCTAATGAATGTCATTACTGACCCTGATTCCAGAGGACCAATAATGAAGCATGCTACGCACCTCCTCACAGAGGTGACAGAATTAGGGCATGTAGAATAAAATTCATATTTTTTGACATGGCCACTGAGAGAATATGATTTAGTTGACTATGCATAGACACGTTACAACTTTTTTATTTTCTTTTTTGACTCCAGTTGGATTCCAGTGAGGAGGGAAGAGAGAAAACTCAATTAATGTTAGTTGAAAAAAAAAATCTTAACATTTTTTAAAACATCATTTCTAAGCATTTGAACTTTAGCTTGTGACTTTTAACTAGAAAGAAGAATGAAAGTTGGCTGGTATGTGGTTAGAGGGCTGACTTTGGAATCAGGAATTCAATAGGTTCAATTCCCAGTCCATTTTGGTCTAGAACTGTCAAGCACCTATGGATGCTCATCTATATTAGTAGATTATACCAATGAAATCACAGGAATAGTTAAAACACACAAAATAATAATTAATTGCTATATCATCATCATCATCATCATTATTGTTGTTCTCATTATTTCACTGAAATGTTTCATGGGCTGAAACTCACAGTAAGAGTGAGGTATAAACACAGAGCTGGCTTAGGCTCTGCAGTTCTCTAAATGATATCAATGGATCTGGACAGCACTTCTTAAACTGTGGGTTGTGACTCCATATGGGGTCTAAAGGGGTCACAAGTGGACAAAGTTTAAGAAGCCCTGATCTAGAGGAAAAATCTCCAGCATGTTAGGCACACATCTTGTGCAGAAGTTACAGAAGAAACATGGAGAACAGTCTCACAAGATGGAAGGGTGTGGATCTGTTGCCACTTGTACTGTTTGAATGAGCAGCCATCTGGTTGAGATAGGATACAACTGTTTGGCAGAAAGTCACTCAAAACTCTGTGTTTTACTTTCCTTTGTGTAATATGATCTCGTCCCTTAGTATTCCGTAATCTACATACAGAAATGAGGTAAGCAATCAAGTAAACACAGGTAAATAAATTTTTTAAGTACTCTGATCATCTTGGTGATGAGTTCTGAGAACTTCCATACGTTGACAAAAGTCAGAAATAAATTTCTAAGTTAAGATATACCTTTTATTTATTACAAGATCTGTTACGAAACTTGCCCTTCTGCCTCGTGAACACAGATTTTTATCTCATAGCAAGTAAGCCAACTGAGGGGGAACAGAACATAAAAGATAGAATCCACATGTCATGAATAGGGGTGAGAGAAAATAAGAGAATTAAGAGATAATGTTAAATGGTAGTTAAGTAAATGAGTGCTCAGAGGACAGGAAATTAATGAGTACAGAGAATACAACATGTACACACACACACATGCACAAGAAGGGGACAGAGTTCCTTAAATATATCGATGTATTTCTGTTGCTGTGGTTTAGTCATTTCAGTCATGTCTGACTCTTCATCACCCCATTTGGGGTTTTCTTGGCAAAGATACTGCAGTGGTTTGCCATTTCCTTCTCCAGCTCATTTTAAAGATGAGGAAACTGAGGCAAAGAGAGTTAAGTGATTTGTGCAGGGTCACACAGCCATAAGTTTCCGAGGCCAGATTTGAACTCAGGTCTTCCTGACTCCAGGCCTGGAATTCTATCCATTGCATGACCTAGCTGCCCTACTGGGAGGAGATTACTGTCACTATTCCTAATTATCTTAAGCTTAAAAATATGAACCATATTGGCCTTACCATTCACTGTGAAAGTCACACTGGTTTTTTAGGAGAATTAAAACCATTTCTACATTTTGTCTGAATGGAGCATAAATAGAACGAAAGCATTATGGACAGCAACTGTATTCTTTTGCCACTTCTTCTGTGCATAGAAACTACTGAAAAGATATTGCAACGTTAGCATGACAGTAACTACCATGTTATCTGTCACAAAATACAAAGACAAAACATTCATTTGTCACAAAAAATATCCCTGAAATGACTAATAATATCACTGAAGTGCCACCTGATTCATGGGGAAATTATAAAAATAATCCCTCACCTGCCGGGCAGTAAACAAAATAAAATGTAACACAGAAGAAAAAGCCTTGACCACGGGAATGGGAGACCTGCTTTGTAACCCCAACATGGCCAGCTAATTCATAAAAGTTGGGTTCTAAAAGTCTGTCAGTATTTGGAAATTAGTCATTTCCTTACACAGAATAATTAATAAGAAAAAGTGACATTTCTACAGCTCTTTAATCTCATTTGATACCTACAACAACTTTGTGAGGTATCATTATGGGCATTATTATATTCATTTCACAAATAAGAAAACTAAGGATCTAAGAGACAGGTTAGCATGTTTATCAGATCAGCAGATGGCACAAAGTCGGGAGGGACAGCCAACAGGATGGATGGATGGATGGATGGATGGATTTCAGTGTCAGGACGCAAAAAGATCTTGACGGACCAGAACAGGTTAACTTGAACAAGACGACCTTAACGGGGATAAATGTTCTATACATTTGAATTCAACAAACTCACTTCACAAATTCAGGATGGGGGAGACCTGATGGGGGAGATAGCAGTTTGCCTGGGGGGAAAAATCTGGGGATTTTAGTGGATTGCAAGCTCAATACGGGTCAAAAGTGTGATACGGTAGCCAAGAAAATAACACAATCTTCAGCTACGTGAAGAGCGTCGGGAATAAAGACAATACAGTCCTGCCACACTCTGCCCTCGTCAGACCACATCTGGAATACTGTCTTCGGGTCTGGGTACTACATTTTAGAAAGTACATTGCACTCACCCCACCCCACTTTCTTCACAGCACGTCAAATCACCAGTAACAGGACCAGGCCCAAACTAGTAGACGAGCATTCTACCTACCTGGACAAAGACTTTCTGGAGAAGGCCTCGGCGCTCAGCCAGAGGTAGCTCATTCTGTGCGCCTCCAACTACCTCAGGCACATGTGGGAGGTCAAAAAATAGATAGAGACATTTAACCAGCGTGGAAGGCACTGACATAGTGGTCATGCAGTCTACAGTTTTCTGGAACACAAATCCAAAGAAATCCAAACATTATGCAGTTGAACAAACTGTTAACACTCAAACTGTAATTATAAAGCATATAATTTGAGGTAACATCATTTTAAGGATTGCAAAGACAAAAAATATGACAGACAAGATATTCCATTTCCAAACTTTTATGACTTGTTTAAATATTATAATATTAAGACTGTTCTGAAACATCACAGAATCTTGGAGCTAGGAGGGCTTAAAACAGAACATCTTAAGTAGGGATGGGGAACCTGAGGCCTTGAAACCACATGTGGCCTTCTAGATCCTTAAGTGCAGCCTTTTGACTGAATCCAAATTTTACAGAATGAATCTTTTTATTAATATTATTATTATTTTATAATTCTAGAGCATTCTTAAACTGTTGGGGAAGACCTCACCTTTGGCATTCCAAACATAAGAATCTATTCTAATTTTCAGATTTCCAAATCTGACCCAAAATCGGCTGATGGTTTTGGGTTTCATTTTATCACCTTGCCTTTAATTTTTAATTATCACCCTCCCATAATTCTGTGCGTGTGGAGTTTGTTACTAGACCTAGGACCATAACGCTTGCCTAAAATCTTTTGCAATTCTACCTTTAAATCTTTTTTAAAATATAAAACTGCACATAGCTTTCTACATAGAATACCAGTTCATTGTTTATTTTTAAGTAAACATTTGGACTGTAGAGAAATGGACAGAGGAGAAAGAAGAACTGAATTTAGAATCCAAGGAACTGGGTCCAAATCCCAGCTCTGCCAAATGCTACCTGCCTGTGTGCTTTGGGACAAATCACTTAACCCTACTGGGACTGAGTTTTCTAATTTGAAAGAAAGGTTTTGGGTTAGATAATCTCAGCAGTCCCTTATAGCTACGAAGTCCTGTTGATTTAGAGTTAAGTGACAAGATTACAGGTGAATGAATAAATCGAAATCAGGGTTAAAATTCTGCTTGAAATCCTAAAATTCATCTACCATTATCATTTTCTAACTCAAGTAATTCAGATCCTTGAGGTTTTAATGTCTATGTTTCAAGTGTATGATTTTCATGAAGCATGAGGATAAAATTTATGAATTAACCAGCCAGCATTTAATAAGTGTCTACCATGTGCCAGACAGTGAATGAATGAAAAAAAATTTATTAAGTACTTACTATATGCCAACCACTGTGAAGCAAGGGGGATACAAGAGAAAACCAAGAAAGTCCCTGTTCTCAGGGAGCTCACATTTGAAGTGAAGGACACTACAGATACAATGGATGGAAAAGCACATTGGTCCTTAAGAGTACAGAGCTGTGGTAAACTACAAGACCTGGACGTCTGGAAGGCAGAGCAGTAGAGTATATGATAAGCCCCAGTGGTCCTCAGGCATGGCGCAGGGCAAATAGTAAGGCCTGGTGGTTCTAAGGTCTTACCGAAAGGACTACGATTGGTCAGTCAATAAACATTTAGTAAGGGAAACAAAAAAGAGACAAAAGACAGTTCCTGTCCTTAAGAAGCTCACAATCTAATGGGTGACTCTGCTCATCAGTGACCAGTTGTGTCTGCCCCACAGCCAAGGCAATGACTAAGGTAAAGGAGAAACACCAAAGAGATTGGAACAGGAGAAGGCCTGGGTGTGAGGGAAATCACTCTCCATCACCAGGTCAGCTCCAGTTGGCTTCTATCTAACTAGGTAAATAAGGCAATTTCTTCCTCCACTGAAATGTAAGTTTGAGTGTGGGAACTGTTTCATTTTAGCTTTGTATCTCCAGTGCTTAGCACAATGCCTAGGACTTGGCAGGTGCTTAATAAATGCTGGATGACTGACTGGTTTTGCTTTTAAAGTTTCTCACAACCTAACCTCAACCTACTTTTCTAGCTTCTTCCTAGTTCACTCCTATGCCTGCACACTAGCCTCTGCTATTCCTCAGACACAAAACTCCATCCCCCTTCCCTGCACCTTTGCCTAGGCTGTTCCCCATCCTGGGATGCACTTCCTCCTTTTCTCTGTCTCTCTGGACCCAAGTACCACCTTGTAAAACTAGGGGTTCTAGGTAAGAGATATTCCTAATGCAAAACCACTTATTTAGAGAGGTAAATTAGATCAATTTCACCCTTGGGTGATAAAGTGGTAAGAGAATTAGCTTTGGGGTCAGAAGACCTGGTTCAAATCCAATCTCTGATACTTATAACTTGTATCCTGGGGCAAACAAGTCAACACCCCTGGGCCTCAATTTCCTAATCTGTAAAATGAGAGGGGTGAACTAGACAATCTCTGAGATCTCTTCCAGCTGTAAATCTATGAGGCTATCATCTGGTCACAGGAGGTAATTTTTTATTTGATAAGCAAATGGTCAAAAGCTGGTAATATATAGAACACTAATGGATTCCTATAAAAAACGACCATATCAAACACTTTTAAAGTAATATAAAGTATTTTTAAAACTCCAAAAGGAATATTTAGAATCACAAAACTACAGTTTTAGGAAAAAGATTCATATAAATTTTTTTCTCCTAAGAAGAATGCCAAAGTGATTCAGTGTAAATGTCAAAGTGATTTAGTGTTCCTTCTCTCATCACTGTAAAAAGTTTTAAAATAGAAAAAGACTTTTTCAAGACTAAAGTCTTCATTTATACATGCATTAAAATAAGGGATCAAAGAAACATCTGTTTGAGAAGAACTCTAAAACTGAAAACTCAGTAAGAACACAATGTTGCTTTTGGCCACCAAGACACAAAAGGTAAAACTAACCTGCCCAGAGGACGCTAACAAATTAATGGTCGTCAGAAGCATCCAACCTCTGCTGGCTTCTTCACTCTGGTTGATTTCCAGGAACTGGACTATGGCACGACTTGCCGCCTCTAATGAAACACAATAAGGACAATCAGGAGAGAACGCGGCATGTAAAAAGACAGACAAGAACGAGAACGCAGCTGTCACTGACTGTGAACGGACGAGCTGCCCCACACAGCAGGAGCAGGCACAGGGGAAACACGACAGAGCAGTGGCAATTACATGATTTCAAGTGGATTACAGTCTTTTAGAGGCAAATGGCTCTAAATTCATGAAATGTGCAGAGAGTGTATAGGATAACGTGCTAGAAGTGTAACGTAAAAAACTAGAAATGTCACCAGAGTTCAAGGATGGGAGAGGTGATATGAACACTCAGAGAAACAGAGAACTTTGTGCAGAGCTGGATTTTGTTTGAAGCTGGAAGGATGGGCAGGTTTGGGATCTGCAGAGATTTGTGAATGGAATACACTGGAGGAAATGAACCTGGACATAGTGTGGACTTGCTGGAATGTTGAGGGGCACTAAGATTTCCCTGATTGTCCAGTATTATCTGGGGCAGTCTTTCATTGTATACCAACTCCTTCCCCTGTTGCCTAGGTTTCCCCTATCCTTCCATGAAAAGGTAAAGAAAAAGGAAAAAGAAAAGGAAACAGGAAAAGAAGTCCTTCCCTCAACAGTATACAGTTTTTCCAGCTGATAAGATGGTGTGATAAGCACTAAAAATGAATTAACTGTTATAGTGAACGGCTGTATTGGAAAGAATGCTACAAACCCGTCCCTCTAGTTCAAGATGGCACAAAAAAAGACTGCCAGAAACCTGAAGCTCTTAGTGGGAAAAAGGCCACATCAGGCAGAAGGTGCAGCATGCAAACAGCCTGGAGCCTGTCAGACCAGTGCCCACACAGAGCAGACACATAGCCAATACGTGAGGCCCCAAAGAAGCAAGACCAGACCAGTGGCTGCACTATAGGAGGGACTGGTCCACACCAGTGTGGCAGGAGCCTAAGTATGACCCAGCAAACTGGAAGCCCACACCAAAGCCACATGAAAAAAAAAAAAAGGAGGGTGGGGGGTCAGAACAGCACCCAAGCAGCCCACACACAGCCACAGCATGAAACAGGGCAAGACCATTGAAAGGCAGCCCAGATACCCAGCAGCCCAGTTCTAGAGCCACAGCAGGAGATTAAGCCAAGGGCAGTGCCTTGGAAACAGAGAGAAAAATATAAGTTAAAATGGACAATTTTGATTATATAAAATTAAAACTTTTGCTCAAACAAATTTAATTAATAAAAACGGAAACGGAAACAGATAAATGGAGGAAAAATCTTTGAAGCAAGTTTCTCAGATAAAAGACTCATTTCCAAGATGTCCACCGGTCACTTCCGTCAAGAAACTCCACATTGAAAACACCTCAAAATGTCATGTCCAAAATTCAGAACTTCTAGGTCATTGAAAAAATCATTGAAGTGCTAAGGACAGAGCCTGATACATAATAAGTAGGTTTGGAGAAATGCTAACTGACTGACAAGCAGCTAAAACAGAAAAAGACCAGCACTCAGGAACCACAATAAGGATCAGAGAAGATTTTACTGCAACTATTATAAAGCAAAGATTATCCTGGACATACCATGCCAAAAGGCAAAAGAAAAAGTCTTTCAAACCAAGAATAACTTAACCTACAAAAATGATGGATACAAATGGACTTTTAAGCATTCTTGATGAAAAGAGCAGAAACAAATACAATCTTTGTTGTTGTGAGGTTATTTTGGTTTATTCTTTTCTATTTCTCCCTTCCATAATTGTACCCACCTGACCCAATTTAACAATTAAAAATAAGCCAGCCCTCACAACAAATGTATCCAATCCAGCAAAGCAAATTCCCACATTTGCTATGTCCAAGATATATGTCTCATTCTGGACTTTCTAAAGTCCATTACTTCTCCTGGAGAAGGAGGGAGGCAATATTCATCTTCAGCTTGGTAGTACACTGGATAGCACATGGGACAGTAGTTCAAGAAGACCCAAGTGTGAATCCTGACTCACACTTATTAATTGTGTAACCCTGGGCAAGTCTTCAACATCATTCAGCCTCAGGTTCAAGATCAAAGGAGTGCCATATGAAAAGTGCTTGGAAAATCTTGAAGCATCGTAAAAATGCTAGTTGTTATTATCATTATTATTATTCAGTCCTCTGGTATAGTGAATGATAACTGCATTAATCAGCATTCTCAAGTCTTTCAAAGTTAGTTTTCTCTGTAATGTTCTCATTGTGTAAATTGTTTTCCTGATACTTCTCACTTAACTCTGCATCTGTTCAGGTCTTCCCAGTTTCCTTTGAAACTGTACATCTAATAATTTCTTATGACAAAATAATATTCCATTATATTCATATATTATGCTTTTTTTAGCCATTTCCAAAAGGTACCCTCCTTTTTAGCTTTGTATTTGGGGCTTCTTTGAAAAGAGCTTATGTACATTTTTTTGTACATAGAGGTCCTTTTCTTTCTTTGCTCTCTGGAGGTATAAGCCTAGTAGTAGTACAATTGACTCAAAAGATATACACAATTTAGTAACTCTGCGACACAAATTGCTTTTACAAAACGGCTGGTCTAACTCCCAGTTCCAAATGGGACATCAATGTGCCTCTTTTCTATAGCCTCTCCAATATTTGGACCTGAGAGTTAATTTAATTTGCCTTTCATTATTAGTGATTTGGAGCACTTTCACATAGTGATTGAGCATTTGAAAACTGCTTGTTCACTTAATTATTAAGGAATGACTCTTAGTCTTATAAATAGAAATCAGTTCCGTGCACATGAAGGTATCTATGTATGATATGAAACTTTTTTCAGAAACTTTTTTCCCCAATTACTTGTTTCACTTCTAATTTTAACTACATTAAACAGTCAGTAATTAAACATTTACTGGGTGACTGCTATGTGTCAGGAACCATAGTTAAGTGCTGAGGACACAAAGGAAAAATCTCACCCATTTATACAAAAAAGAAATTTAACTTTATATAATCAAAATTGTACATTTTATTTTTGTTGATGCTATCACTTATTTAGTGAGGAACTCTTTCCCTATCCACAGATCTAAAAGGTAATTTTTTTTTTCCTTGCTTAGCATTTCTATTAAGCACAGAAATGCTTAATATTGGCTGATTGACTGACTGATGTATCAATTTGGAGTTTATCTTGGTTTGAGACACTGGTCTGTACCCCATTTCTATCAGATGGCTTTTCAGTTTTCTAAGAAATTTATGTCCAATAGTGAGTGTTATCTGAGGAAGTGGGATCTTTGGGTTTAATGAACACTGAGCTACTGTGTTAGCTGGCTCCTGGTGTGTACCTAATCTGTTTCACTACACTGGTTACCAAATCATTTTTAATAATTACTGTTTGGCAGTATAGCTTTAGAGCTGATTCTCATCGACCCTCTTTCTTGCCACTCTTTTTTCATTAGTACCCTTTAGATTGCTGATCTTTTGCTCTTCCAGATGAATTTCATTATTTCTTCTGACTCTACAAAACAATTCCCTGGTAGTTTGATTGGTATCACACTGAAATTAATCAAATTAGTAAATTAATTTGGGTAATGTGGTCATCTTTGTGATATTGCCCCCATTTAACTGGATAGCATCTTTGAAATATGCACAAGGAAGACGAGAGAAGCCTGGAAAGGAAAACACATCTGAGCAAGTAGAAGGGACTCAGTGACAGTCAAGTACTTCTATTCCAATAGAGGCAGAAGAGGCAAACGTCACTGAGAGAGTAAATTAAGACAAAAAGAGGGCCAGAGTGTGATTGTTTTTCCCCGTTTTGCTGGCTTTAAAGGAGATAAGGGAGGAAAAAGGAATATACTATGAAAGAAAGAAGATAGAAGAGAAAGTCACTTATTTCTCCCTTCTAGGATACTCCATAAAAAGAAAATACAAATACAAAGGGGGGTGGGGAATAGAGAGTCATTATCTCACAAACCTTACTCTTTCTCTCTGTCTCTGTCTCTGTCTCTCTCAATGGAAAAAAACAAAAGGTATTAGCCTGGGAGAATAACCACAGCTCACATATTGCTTTAGATTAACATTATGAAGAAAGTAAATTGACTCTGTCATTTTATTGCTGATTCTATTCTGTAATTAATCCTACTCAGTATTACTGCCCATTTCTGTACAATTGCTCAAGCCACATTTTTTTTTGTCTTTTTGTCTATGAGCTAAGTCTAGAAGTTAAGTTCTCTTGCTGATCACTGTTCTATTCTTGGCTCAAAGAAATTTGTTATCCTTGAGGGATGCAGTGGTCATGAGGGAATCTGGTCCACTATCTCCAATGTTGCAGGTAAACTCAAACAATCAACAAGGAGTCAGTCACAGGAACTGAATTTTCCTCTCTGAATTAGTTCAAAGAAAAACTTGTTATTCCTCATATTTTCAGGTCCTGGAAAATTCCGTAACATCTGTTTGCTATCTTGGAAGGCCTACAAGCCAAACTGGTACATTTCCACAAGATGTACTGCCTATTCTTGCCTAACCCTGTATAATTAATGAGGGTCCTATCTCCTTCCTAGAAGCAAGGAAGTCTGTTATCCCAGACCACTATCAACAGCCTCAGGATACAGATGGGTCCCATAAATCAATCAAGCATTCCTCAAGACAGAGAGGAGTAATTGCTAGCCTCCATGCAAGGGCTAGCCTACTCTTCTTGATGTAACCAACCATGTTGTCCTCACCCCTATGATGCTGCCAGCCCTGTAACCAATTTCATTTTTTCCCCCACCTACTCAGTTCTATTCTTTGTTCTCTTGTACTTCTCAAAACTATATGAAGGCTAGTAAGCCCCTATTCATATATGGTCTTTGGTCACTGAAAGAGGCCACTGACCCACTGTATTGTTTACTGCTAGCTGTGCTAATTAACTGATCACGCTCAGATCACTGTCTCTCAGTTTACCTTAATTTTCAAATGTAACAATTGTCATGTTTTATACCCACAATAACCCAGTAAGGTATGTTCTGTAATTATCCCCATTTCAAAGATGAAGAAGTTTAGATTCAGTAAAATCATGTGATC